GGACTCCAGGATCATGACCTGAGCCGAAGGCAGTCGCTTAACCAACTGAGCCACCCAGGCGCCCGAATCACTAAGTTTTACCCCCGAAACTAGTAATACTCTATATGTTAACTGAATTGAATTTAAATAAAAAATTAAAAGAAATGTAAATTAAGAAGTAAAAAGAGTTGGGACATAAAAGGATTTTATATATATAGTAATCTGTGGCTGGAGAGAAAGTTTAGTGCACAAAGAAGTATGATCTTAGGAGGTTTCCATAAATCCATCCAAAGCCATTTTGTTCTTCATTTCTCTGAGAATGGCAATGAGCATAATCTCTCTGTCCTACTTTGATCCAGATATACCCTGAACTCCCAGAAATTGCTTATAATATTCCGACGATCCTGAAAGCGAGTCATTCGGATCTAGTTGTAGTTCTAGAAAGGGCTGCCAGTGTGTAAGAAGTGGAAAGATGGGGAGAGACTCCCCATGGTTTTGCAAACCAATGGCCTCACCAGCTGTTTTGACACTTGTGGGTACTGTTGAAAATGCATTGTCTACCCACAGCGCCCCCTAGTGTTCAAAGACGTTATCCTAGGTTTTAGTGTAACCCTATATAGTATGATTTTAGGAAGATAATGCTGTCTTTTGATTCAAAGAAGTCACTACCAAGCCATCAGCAGCAAAACCAAGTACATTTTCATGTTATCATTCTTTCTCTGTTCCATCTGTATCGTTTGTACACTTCTTTGAGATTTTGGACCATAAATACAGGTTGATCTGTGACTGAGGAATGAACTACCCTAGTAAGAATAAAGCCTATAATAACTGGATTTCCCACTCCAGCCAGCTGAACTGTTGCCATTATAAGAGTCAATCAAATTATTGTAATTTCCTGGTTGTTCATATAAAAATGTGCATATGTTATCTATCTAGGTCTCAGGAGTGAGTACAAGAAAATCTTCCTAGCAGGACTAATGGAGCATGAAACAATCACTGCTCATCCATCTAATCTTTATGTTCCAGAGATGATCCCTGGATCTGTCCTGATTAGTGATGCAGTTTTCCTGGAGTTGGTAGATGCTCTGAATCAATACTCAGATGAGGAGGAGGAAGGGCACAATGACACCTCAGATGGAAAGCAAGATGACAGCAAAGAAGATCTGCCAGTAACAAGAAAGAGAAAAAGACACGCTCTTGAAGGTAAATATTCCATTTTGAAAGTGACAGGGAGAGGGAAGAAGGGAGAAACAGAATTGTTGATTATTAAAGGCTGTTGGTGCTTCTCATTTGGTCCACTTAAAAGGAAAACAAAGTAGTGTGTTTGGGAAACATGGAAAGTTATAAAGAAGAAAATATAATTATCCTATAATCTTACTATCAAGGAATAATCAGCATTAATATTTCCTTCTAGATCTAAAAAATGTGTGTGTGTGTGTATACACACGCACACAAAGAATATATACATACACGTACCTAAAATAAATATTATGCTATATGTCAACTATATCTCAGGCTTTTTAAAGTACATGTATGGGGCGCCTCAGTGGCTCGGTCATTAAGCGGCTGCCTTCGGCTCAGGTCATGATCCCAGGGTCCTGGGATCGAGCCCCGCAT